AAGGAAGGAAGGAAGGAAGGAAGGAAGGAAGGAAGGAAGGAAGGAAGGAAGGAAGGAAGGAAGGTTTCTGACGCTTCCTGCCAGCTTCCCACAAGCAAAGCCAATGAAGAAGCCAGCATGAAGTTGTAAGCTGCTCACTGCTTTTTTGTCCTTGGTCATTCTGTTTCTCTGTTTAGGAAGGAAATATCTCTGAAACGATGACCCAACGGGTCATGGGTTGTCTAGTATGTGTCTGTGTGTTTGTGTGTGTGTGTACTTACATGCACACAAATATACATACTCACACAAGGATCCACTTTATTAGAAATAATTTTAGAACCTTCCAGACTAGTGAATAAATCAGTATCCATATAATTAAACTGAGTCTTCCTAATCAATGATTTCTATCATGATTTAAACTGATTAGATTTAAAACAGATCCATTCTACTGTATAACACAACAATTCAAATTCACTTGCTCTGTGATCACAATCTTTTGGAGAAAATGGTTGTCTGGGCATCAGTTGTTCTCTCTCTCTAATTCTATTACTTTCAAGCATAATGTGGACAATCACTAAAAAGAGATTCCTCAGTCTACCACTGCAGTTTTTAGTCTCCATATCTATCTCAGCATTACAAACCATCAGTCACAGAATGTTACAAATCCCTACACTATCTAATTCGCTGCCTTTAGTAGGCCAACACTACACACATTATTTTTTTATTCAAGGCTACATACATGATACTTAAAAGAGCAGTAAAGTAAACATGGAGGCATAGTAATTTAAGGCTTATAATTCAAAGTAAGCACCAGTGTTTACCAGCATCTAACAGGTGGTATTTTTAAGCTTCCAACAATATTCAGCTGCATCAATTCAGTTTCAGTTAACTAACTGTACAATGTAGGGGTTTAAGTACATTATACAGTAAACTTTTAAAAATGCTCTTAAGCCCTTCACAATCCTGGAGATTGGCACTTAATTATCTGCTATGCATCATATTAAAAATCAAAGGCAGTCCAAGAAAGGCAACCAAGTGCCAAGGAAGCATTTAGCACAGGTCCCAAGCATCCCTTGTGGTTTTCCAGTTATTACCTATTGTCCTTATTCCCAAGCTTAGTATTTGATGAAATACACTTTTCCTATATGTTTCACCAAAAATGCAGGCATAGCCATTGCCCTAAATTAAAGGTGGCAACTTGTTACTCTAGATTTGTTGGGGTCCCTAGTCTTATTTTATTTGGTGCTGGTGCTGAAACCTTATAAAAAAGGGCTCTCAGTTTCTCTCATCTTTATTTCCTTACATTTGGAAGCCAAAGGGATGACAAGGAAACTGATGTTCATGAACCTTCACACATTTCCCTCATTTCTGTTATGTTGAAAGACTTTAGGCAGACATCCTGTCTCCTTAAGTGTTGAGGCCATAAAGATATGGGAGGAAGTGACCCCAATCTGCTGGCCTTCAGAACAACCTCTAGCTGCTCTGCTGATACCTCTGCATTCTAGGAAACAATAAAATTCAGAAGATCAAAGGGGGTGCCCCGAACTCTGACGAGCAACCAATAGGTCATCAGGAAGATAAGTTTCCCCCAATAATAAGAAGGATCCCAAACTTATGACAATTTCAGCCAATCATTTGTTAATTGCTGCATCTCTGTGTAAGGAACATGTATAAAATCTTCTTTGGGTGTGACCAGGGTTCTTCTCTGCCTTAAGGGGGGACCCCAGCTGACTCTATTGGCCCGCTTTCAATAAAACTTTAAAATCTCAGCTGGTGTTTTTGTGTCTGATCTTCTGCCGGACTGAATCCTAATTGGGGAGAGTCAGAAACTCTCAAATTTTGCTAAATCTTCTTTGGGTGTGACCAGGGTTCTTCTCTGCCTTAAGGGGGGACCCCAGCTGACTCTATTGGCCCGCTTTCAATAAAACTTTAAAATCTCAGCTGGTGTTTTTGTGTCTGATCTTCTGCCGGACTGAATCCTAATTGGGGAGAGTCAGAAACTCTCAAATTTTGCTAACAGAAATGAGGACTCGTCTGGGATCTCTTTTAAGTGTCCAGTGATCCTGAAAGGGGGAGGCCCTTTGGGGTCCGGTGACTGCTAAGGGATCCATAAAGGGAAGATCTGACGATTTCTGCCTGGGAATTTCCCATGAGCTGCGCCAGAACGGGTGAGTACAGTTGGGTACTCCAAGTAGGTTTTTCCAGTTAAAGGAAAAACCGGGGGGTCCGGTTGAAAGGAACAGTGTGTCTATTGTCTTGCCTCCTGGGGGCAACCAGGACTGCTCAGCGAATGGGGCATAGATGCCCCAATTTTGGCACAAGGTCTGAGACCGACTGCCAGAGTTGAAAGCCAGTGCGTTCCATTCGCCAGTAGCTTGTCCCACCCTGCTGCAAGTGACGGTACATGTGTGTGAGCGAAAGCAAGCCGGACCCGTGGAGAAAAATCCTAGTGCTAGGTGTACGGAAGACTTCTGGCATGGGCAGTTGTGCCAATAAGCCACACCCTCATAGGGGGACACCTCTTGGGTGTGTAATTAAAAATTGGTGAGCTCTGGGAGATTCCCAGTTCGGAATGACGAAAGAGAGATTAATTTATCTTTGTAACAAAGATTGGCCATCTCAAAAGGAAATTTTCCCTCCGTGGCCAGAGGAGGGAAACTTAGAGGCAGAGAACATTGGCGCTGATTGATTGGTGCAGACTAACTCCAGGCAAAATAGAAAGAGGAGACTTGGCATATGCAGGATGCTTTGCCTCAATAATGATGAACCCAAAACGATACCCCAGTGATGGGACTGTGCTAGTGGTTCAACAAAAACCTCCGAAACTCCATAATCCATATGGGGATGCAAGCTCTGAGGTCCTTTATGGGCCTCTTGAAAGCATTCTGCCAGCATACCCCACAATCCCGAATGCACCCCCGGCTCGGGCTGCCTTAATGGACCAGCAATGGGAAAGAGCCAGTGCGAGAGTAGGACCGAGTGCCTCAGGCATGGGGGTTTGATGGTCCCCTCCTCCTCCTCCTCCTCCCCAATGTGACACAGTTACCAGTCAGAGAGACCAGGAAGGGTGGGTTTCTTCCAGTCGTATGGGCGGGGAAGATTTTCCACCTCCCCCGGAGGATTTAGATTTCTCCATGGAAGAGATAGAAATGAAGGAGAGAGGAAAAGGAAGGCAGGAACCAGGGGCGAGTTCTCCCACAGTCACCAGAAGCAAAAGGGCCCTTAAGGAAAAGAAGGGACAGGAGGAGAATGATAGATCAGGAAGCAAGGAGTGGGACAAGAGGGAGGCAAAAATGTTCCCTTTGAGAGAACAGGTGGTGGTGAAACCTAACAGTGAAACCTCTAAAGCCTATGTATACTGTATGTACCCTTTTCCACGGCAGACCTCTTTAATTGGAAAACTCATACTCCCTCATATTCTAATGACTTCCAAATTTTAATCAATATAGTTTGGTCAAAGGTTCACTTATAAAGAAAAAATGTGTATTTCAACTTCATATATATTTAAAGATGTTCAATCTGTTGATGTTACATGTATCACTATATTTTTATATATATAAAATGCTATTGCTGAGCGTATGTACGTAGTAATTAAGAAAACACTGTTATTAGCACAAACTTTATGAGGGTAATGTGTTCACTAAGCAAATTTCAATTCCCAGGCTATTATGGAGGATACACCAGCTCCCATGAAAATGGAAATCAGATAACCTTGATGTAAATGTTCTAAGTATAAAACAGGTTTTCTGGTTAAGGTTAATTTAGAATTTTGCAATTGAATACTACAGTAGCACCTACTTAAGTAACACTTGTTTCTTTTCTGAATATTTCAAATGCAAACATCTTGACTGTTAACTAGGCCATTAATGGGCAAATGTGAGGATTCCAAAAACACATTTTTGAAGTCAAAATCTTGAAGAGAGAAACTTTTCTTTTTCCTGAGGATTCAACTTACCAGAGCAGACTTGCCTACACCACCTGAGCCAAGGACCACTAGCTTGTACTCACGCATGATGTGGTCTATTCAAATACTGATAAGCTGTAAAAGAGAAAGAAATGATTAACAAAGAGTTTTCTGCTATACTGCTGCATTTAGGCATATATTTGTAACTTCCAGTTACTGAGGTATATCCGTTTTCAGTTATATACAACAATATGACTACTTCATTTGGCAAACATTTTAATTAACAAGAAGTCCTATTTCCACTTTTCAGCTAACTCTTCTAAAATACACAACAGAATCAAGGATTTGGTTCAGGTCTATAAAGACCAAGATATTTTGACTAATATATTTATTTCAAAAGGGTGTGTTACTTATGCAACTGGTATAGAGCTGACAATGAAAAAACTGACTATATATTCAACATCTCTCCCTGTTTATTTTGATTGGCTATGTTGCAAATTAAATTGTCTGAATCTTTGTTCCAATCCTTGTTATTGATTTTCATTAAGTTACAATGGCACACTAGTATTATAAACATAATACTAGTTACTAAGGACAACCTAGGTTTCCAGCCAGTTAAGTTTAAATGATGGAATGTCTATCAGACATTAGGGGCATGGAGGATGGAGCTAAACAGTTAAAGGAGAGAGTTGAATCATTACAGAAAATGTGCCTTAGTCTAAGAAAGGAGTGAATATGACAAAGAGGCGCAGAGCACCTCTGCCTTAATTATACCAGGTATAAGTTGAGTGGAAGAGTTGCTCTGATAGCCTTTCAAGATTCTGTTAAAAAACCTTATTAGCAATAAAGGTATTTCTAGAAAGCCAAGTGGTTCTTGCTTCCTGCATTTCCCTGCCTTGCAGTACTTGACAGTTTGTGAACATGCAACTGTTTTAGTTGTCATGACTGTCAAAATTACAGTCAAAGTAATGGAAATAGAACGAACAAAACAAAATACACCCACCCCACCATCACTATTTAGTCTATTTTATGTGTATTCAGCCTGGGAGAGTATATTTCTGATTCCTTCCCCATTAATTGTTTGGGGGGGGGGGGAGGGTGACAGTTCAGAAGCAGCCTTTTTCAGTGGCTGCCCTGGCCCTGCAGTGTTTCAGAGTTCAATGTCCTTCCCTTCAGCTTTTGGAATATCGGTTACGATGCTGGGTGGCTGCTACTGATTTTATCTGGTACTATGTATTTAATTTATGGTTTTCTGGTTTTATATGGCAATTCTATGTATTTTCAGTTTCTCTGTTTCATGGCGGTATGCCACTCTGAGTTTTTGCCTTGGGCATCACATAACTTCTGTGAAATAAATAAATAAATTTAGACAGCTTTCCAGTAACTGGAAAACACTCGTTCCATGATTATTTGCAACCAAGGTACAATATCCTGAAGACACCAAGCTAAAAGGAATATTAATAAACTCTCTAACATAAAGGCCAAGATAGTGTCAATGATGGGCGACATATACTGCCTTTGGAACATGACCCAACTAACCAAAGTAGGTGTGTGTGGTCCTCTTCAGCACTGGTTTAAAGTGTAACAGATGCATTATACATAAATAAAAATTTTGATCCTTATAGCTATTAATATTAGTTATTGTGAACTGAGGTTTTTAGGCCTAAGGTTTCCTCTGCTCTTTTGTAGGTTTCAACCCCTTCTTTGCCTTCTCGATTCAGAGGAGGTTTGAAGTAGGTTTTTCATTACAGTCTGGAGGGCAAACTTAATCCATAATTAGCAGCAAACTGTGAAGAAAATCTGGGAGGGAATCAGAATGAAAGGATGAAAGAGACAAGTGGAATAGAGCAAGACTTTCATTTGGCAGCAACCTCATTATTCATCTGTTAAGACAAATCAAATAAGGCAGATTTTAAAATGTATTCCATTCGTTAATTTCTGTCTCATAACAGCACAGTGCTCCTAGGTTCCATTCAGAACTAGTTTTAAACTCCTTTATCAAGTTTTCAATATTTCCGGACTGCTTAACTGTACAACAGAAAAGGCATAAACGTGTGCCTTGATTCAAGATGATTCTGAGTAAAATGTTAATAAGGCATGAAAAGAGTTTAATGTAGACCTAATCTCATTTCTACAGCACGCCCAAACCCTCCAGGTTCACACTATTTTGGCAACGAAACATTAATATTATTTTCAGTTATGCATTTCTGGGGAGGTGGGTCCCTCCCTGCCCCCCCCCCATGAAAATAAGCACCCCAAACCTGCTAAACTATGGCTGGGCTGAATACACATCTTTTGTATTATGCACGTTTACACATGCAAACAAACACACACACACACACACAACGGGAAATTTTGGACCAACTGGCACCTGTTTGCATCCTCCAAATAGGTATGAAGTCCTGATTTTATCCTGGAGGACATCTTCAAATTACGGTTTCCAAGTTTACATGCAAAGAAATGGTGATTTAAGAAATGAAGATATCTTTGCTGAAGTCAGGTATGCACATTCCTGAGCAGATAAATCACAATTTAATTGGCCATAGTCACAATATCTGTCTCAGAATATTACAGACACTAAATTTCAACAATCTCTTGCTTCCAGGCTCTGAAATTTGGACAGGGTGGTACTGGTAAAGAAATGGATAATGACTGTTTCAAAAGGAGGAGGGAGAAAAGAAATCTGAGGCAGGTAGAAACAAGTAGTAAAAGGTCCAGTGACAAAAGGCCTAATCAATATCCTAAGGCTTGTATAAAGCAATATGCAAGCAATGAAAGGGCCTCAGGATATATCCCACTCTCCATGAACTTCACATCTCTGATGGATATTGCTAGTTTAGCAGGTACCCATCTATACGGGGTGGACACTGATCAAGACATACAGTACATATCCTACGGGCATTGGTTTCTGGGTGAGTAAGAACACTGAAGGACTGCTAGGTTACAAAAGTACAGGTACATGCAGCAAGGTGAACCTACTTATAGATTTGAACAGGTTTAAGATTAAAGAGCAACATGTAACTATGAAAAGAACAAATTATAGATCTGTTTTTTCCTAAACATTCTAGGCATCATTGATACAGAGATATTATATTCTCTATTATTGGAAGTCAAATAATATGAACGCTGTTCTGACACATTAAAATGTTGTAGAAATAATGCATAAGGCAGCTAGATGTGAACTCCAAGACCTTAACCTTCTACCTTCAAACACATTAATATTTACTTAAATAATTTATGTTTCCACACTCAGTTGCACAAAAGTATGTGCAATTAAGCAATAAAATTATAGTAGCAAGCTGCAAGCAACTAGGATTGCTCTCATATTCCCAAAAGGGAATGATTTAGGTCAATTTTTTCTCTCTGTACAAGGTCAGGCCTCACTTGCCACTGCCAACTCAGAAATCTTTCTGTTCCTCAAAGCAACATCTGTGCCTTTTTATGGAAATCTCTCTAGTCACTATGCTGTACCAGAAAACCTTTCATTCTCTTCAAGATTACTTGACAAATAAGGAAAATGGCAAAACCAATGATAAACATTTTAGAAATGTTTACATTGCAAACCAGCCTTCACTGCCCCAACAACTGATCCCAGCCAAGCCATGACATCACTTACTAATTATCTTTTCAGCCCTCCCAAGTAAGGATTCAGAAATGGCAAAAGCCGTTAAAGAGGCCATAATCCAACTTCACTAAAACACTGGCTAAAATGAACTGTCCTGATCAGCCACAAGGCCTATCTAGTTCAGCATTCTGTTCCCACAGTGGCCAAAAGGACTGTGCAAATTCTGTGAAGGAAGTGCTTTGCAACACACAGGAGAACTTCTGCATACCACTCTTCAAACTATGAAAGCAACTCTGTCTTTTTTCAAGTTCACATAGCTACTTCACTGGCTCCTCCTGGCTGGCTATGCATACATGTGTCTGCATTAGCCACAACACTTTGCTGGGGGGAAACACAAAGCAAAGTAGCTGTACATGTACACATATGTGGAATCAGCTAGGAAGGTGGACCAAACCAAGAAACCAATGTATATAGGTCTAAAACTACTTTTATTGGATCAGCTGTAGTGTTAGAATCTTACACTTTATCTTCGCTGGAATTAGGGAAGGGCTTGTTTGAAATAATTCTCAAACTAGTTTCTTGGAAAGGACTCAAGCCCCACTGGTCTGATCGTTGCCTTGGTAGTGGCTGTTCTTCTTGTCCTTCAAGACCATTCCCTATGTCCTCCATAGGAACAACTTGCAAACAGCTGCACAAGCCTAAAAAAGGACACAGCTGTTTAAATGAATTGTAAGGAGTTGTTTTATAAGTGCATTGCTAAGCGCCTTTTTCAAAGGAATTGCACAGCCCTAGCAGCCAACTAGATAGAAAGACTACAACAAAGACATATCATTCCCTGTATCTAAGTCCCAAAAACTGATGAGAATCATCATCTCCAGCACTGGAAGAAACAAGACAGATGAAGTTTCAAAGCATAACTCCAGCTTATAAATGAAAGAAATACAGTAAGTTGCTAATATGAGAAAGAATATGAATATTTATTTATTTATTTATTTATTTACACAGGGCAATTTTTACTACTGTGACACTATTCTGTTCTATTAATTTCTAGCATAACTAGTATATACCTAAGCAAAATAATATCTATTAACCTCCATGCATAATCAAGCAATATTGAGCACTGATAACAAGAACCCACAATATTTAGAAGTTTTACATGACACGGCATTGGAAAGATGCATTAAACCTACTACTTGAGCACAATTCTTTATTTGGGATGGTATAAAGTACTACTGAAAGTTTCTACAGTAAACAAGGAAAGGGTTAGCAAGGCTGCTTCCCATGAAAGCTGGATCTAATTCAGCTTTTACTTCCAATGAATGTTCCACAACTAGAAGTTTTAGGCATTCAAAAAGGAAGTGTTTGAACTGCTCTGTACACATGCAATGGTAAAGCCATGGTTAACTGGTATATTTATTATCCCTCTTCTCACTCATAAGCTTTTGTTCACCTTTAGCTTATCTTCCACAAATCCTGCTTTCATATTACATGCAAACATGAGATTGTTTAAAACAATAACCGTGCTTGATTGGAAACCTGAGTACTTTTTTTGGGGGGGGGAAGAGGGATG